ATACAAAATGGGTGCAGAGCGTCAGAGGTGGGAGCAGGTGCCATGGAGGAGTGAGCATCCCCTGCTGACCGTTCACACCCGCCGTGTGTTCCTTGTCATATTTATATGGAAACATCTTCTTGAAAGTGTAGATTGAAGTTTGTTAAAAATATGACCCCGGAAGGTAGGGTCAACCACAACGAAAGTTTAAACTTGTAGAGAAAAAAATCATAGATATTTAAAAAAGTAGGTATAGTCTTACTGTAGTTATTGTAGTTTCAGTTTTCTTCACATGTACCCCCCCTCCCTTACAGGGGATGTTAGGACCACATATTCATTTAAGCTTTTCAATTTTAAACTGATTTCCGATTATTCCAAGACAGGTTAGCGATGTCGCTCACGAATTGCTTGTTAACACGGTGTCATCTTCATCATTTTTTTAATCAACACAAATGTTTCACTGAATATTGGACACTGAAATCAATGTTGGCTGAAAGTTGAATTAAATTAAACATATTTTATTGACAAAGTCAAAAGGATCGGACACAAGTTCAGTAGCTCAGATAGTCCATAACATTTTGTAAAATTGCCAAAATAAAAAAAAAACAAACATGTAGATATGGTCTAATGCATACATTGTATTCATCGTAGCAATAGAAAGGAATTAATTCTTTAATGCATTTAAAGAATTCATTTCTTTCTATTGCTACGATGTATACAATGTATGTAGTAAACCATATGAAAGTTGAAAGCTGAAATTACAATTTTCACAAATTTCTACAAAATGCAGCATGTATAGATTTTTTTTTCAAATCCCCTTCAGATAAGCAAGGGTGTGAGAGTCATACTGATATTTAGAATCAAAGAACACCTGACAACTTAAGGTTAGGATGGGGTGAAGGTTAAGGAAAGGGTTATATCAATTAAAAATTTAGAGAAGAATTGCCAAGGTTGACTTAGGTGAGGTTACATAGAGAGATAGTATATATATGCAGTGAAACGTGTTTAAAAGAATCCAGATGGTTTATACCAAAATCTTACTTTTTACGTTGAAAACCCTTTGTTCACTTCAGCATTAAATTAATTTATCAAATATTATGCTATCTAAAATGTTGTCTAATCGACAACGTTTTATGGAACCAGAGGATTACACAAGATTATAGCTCGACTGAGCCGAAAGGTCAAATGAGTTTTTTTGATCACCTTTCGCACGTCTTCATATGAAGTAGAATTTATGAAAAATCTTATGCGTGAAAAAAATAAAACACTTGCTGTGGTCTTCAACTCGACCTTCAGATATATCGACGACGTATTGTCAATTAACAATGGTAATTTCCATTCCTACGTCGATACAATATATTCAGAAGAGCTTGAGATAAGAGATACTACAGAGTCTGACACGTCTGTTTCATTCTTGGATATTTTACTTGAAAAAGACGTTAATGGTAATCTAACAACCAAGTTAAATGATAAACATGACGACTTTAACTTTTCTATTGTCAACTTCTCTTACTTATGTAGCAATATACCTTCATCACCTGCATACGGAGTGTATATATCTCAGTTGATTCGACACACAAAAGAATTTTCTACTCATGAACAATTTCTAAAACGAGGTAAGTTATTGACAGACAAGTTGATGAAACAAGAATATCAGCAATATCGTTTAAAGTAATCATTTCGTAAGTTCTTTGGTCGATACAATGACCTTGTCAGCAAATACAATTTTTCATTGAGTCAAATGCTGACTGACGTATTTCATACTTTTTGTTAGTCCATTATCTATACACTGATCTGACGACGAATTGTTCTGTTATTTCCCATTCATGACAAGGAGCACATGGCGGGTGTGGCTGGTCAGCAGGGGATATTCACTCCTCCATGGCACCTGATCCCACCTCTGATGTTTCGGGGGTCCGTGTTTGCTCTGTTCCTATTTTGTATTGTTTCATGGACTTTAAGATTGATTACTGTTCGTTATCTCCATATCCTTCTGTAAACTTTTAACATTTTAAAACTTCTTCAAATCGCCTGAGGTAAAAGCCCCAGTGAGTTTTTCTGGGCACCCCTTGTATATCTGTGTTTTACATTTAAAACATTTTCTCAAAAACCACCGGGCCAACTTTTATCAAACTTAGCATCCTTGGGTAAAGGGAAGTTTGAACTGTTAATTAAAAGGTTCAAGTCCCTTACAAGGAGAGAAAATCAAGAAAAGAGAAAATTAGGGAGCGATTGGGTCAGCAATGCTTCCGGGGTTAGGTGTAGACTCTAAATTGTTTGATTCACTCTCCCGGGAGGGGGTAGGATGAGGCCAACATAGGTATTAAAAGTAGGAAAAACTTATGAAGAACAGCATGGTCAAAGTTACTTGGTTGGGTGTTGTGGTCCAAGGTCCTCTTGCATTGCATGATCATGACTCATAGAAAATACGAACCTTGCACATTCCCTCCCATCAACTGCATCAAGAAAAAAATTGCTTAAAGGGATTTTTGCATTAATAAAATTTCAAATTTAAATACTTTCTACATGCACATGTAAGAACTTTCACGACTTGTAAATATAAAGTATAGTTTACTATGTTAACTATATTTTACATTATTAAGTATAGTTTACTATAGTATCAAAGATTTTTTCACCATAATAAATCAAAATTAATTATTTTTGGATTAAAGGGATACAAGATTACCATGTTTTTTTCTTCAATCCATGCATGCACATAGTTATTATGGAACTGAACTTTTATTTTAAGACATTCAGATAATGTTGTCACAGTATATTCAGATATCTCTGTTACCGACTTTAAGAGATTTAAAAAAAGCTTTAATATTTTTAAAAAATTACAGAAAATAGTTTTATAATAAATCAACGACGCACAGTTTTGACTATGGTAAACTATATGATAAATGTTTATTAGGGGCAACTGAAGTGAGGTTTTCTGATCCCATGTTGTATTTATTCCATCTGACTGTCCGTCTGTAAACCGTTCACACTTTTACGTCTTCCCCACAGGAACTACATGTCCAAATTTGCTTGATTTAAATGTACAATGTATACAACTAGATTTTAGCTGTGTCACGGTACTCACATTGCTCGGAAGATGTTAAGTGAATACATGTGTTTTAACTGACGGTTATTTTCGATGACTATTGTTACTAAGTCATTATAAGAAATATGGTGTTATTAATGTCCTCATTTCATTCAAGGAAGAACACAGACAGTAACGTACTTAAATCTTTTAAATGTTATAGAGTTAGTCTTGTATATCTTTTATCTTACCAAAGGGTTTCTATTTCATAATAAAACTTCATTGTCTTTTTGTCCCAACCGCTGTCTCAAGATGGAGGATTTTGATTTTTATGGTTTTGATGAATTTTCATCGCAGATAAGAAGAAACTGTCATTCATTTAAAAGATATACACTGTATATATTTTTCAAAACCATCACAACCCCTACCCCAATGCAGAGTTGTCATTTCTTGCTCTCTCAGACATTTCTGCAAAAGATTTGCACCATGAGATATGATTTTGTTACATATATTACAAAATATATACATTTGTGGTATCTTTCCACTATATAAACATACAGAGAGATAATATCTTCAATTCTGTATGAAGTTTGTCGGAGGTCAGAGGTGAATACATGACTGAATCACACGGCGCAATAATATCTACGGGTACAAAATGACTTGCTCTAGGCCTACTTGCTTTTCATGTATAGATATGAACAGAATAAGCATGTAATATAATTATTATATTATTTACAATGTAAACGAGTATTTCATACATTTTTTGGCTATCGATTTAACCTGCGTACATAGAGAATATACACATGAAAACTGGCACAACTCACTTTTGTCAGCTGTACAGTCTCTAACGTTTATCCTAATTTTTTGGGTAGACCTTTAGTTAAAATTCTGAAAAACTCATTAAATTCATTAAATGTGTAAATCTGTTGGAAAATATCAAAGCATTGCAATCACGCCACAAACAGATATTGTCGTAACATGTATATATAAATATGCCTTTATTTCAGAAATCAAATCCAATTGATTACAAATTAACTGGCTCGGTGTCAACCCCTACCCCAATGCAGAGTATGTCATTTTTTACTTATTCCCAGCTCTCTCCGATCAGAAGTAGAAATAAAATCCTTAGCCTGGTGACATTTTTACACACACATTTTCCAAAGATTAGTTAATTTAATTCGAAAATATTCACACAAATGTGAAGTCTATGATTTTGTTACATATATTACAAATTAAAAGATATTTTCTTGTGCTCATCTATATGTAATAGGAGTATGATGCAAATTAAAATCTCTCTCTCTCCCTTGGAGTCTGTGTTGTCAACATACCAGTCAATCAATTTTAAGGGTCCTCCATACACACACACACACACACACAGCTTATGTTCTCATTATTTTGAGAATTACTTTTTACAAGCATGTCAACCTTTAAAAACTGTCCAGGGATTAAAATGTAATTTACACTGATTTTTTAAAATAATAATTTCAGAAGTTTTAAGAAATTTTTCCCAAGGCGTTTTCATACCTAGCACAACAAATTTTGTCTTACCCTTTTGTATATTTTAAAGCTCACAGAATAACCATAAAATCTTAATTTTATCGATCTACACATGTACATATTTTATACAGATATTTATTTTATTTATAAAAAGTACATAAAACTAATTTTCTCTAAAATACATCTCGAGAAAAATCAATAAAGACTCTTTTTGTAGAGAAGAAACATTAATGAATAAGATTACATGTACACCAAAAAATTGAATTAAAATTAAATGCACTGATGTAGAAAAAATATTTTCAAAATCTTTGGTATCAAAATTCCTTTTTGGAGTTTTGGATCTTTCCTATTGCCCGGGACTCAAAAACTTTGGCAAGTCTCCGCATACGTCACATACTATATTTACTCATTATATTGGCTACGGAACTGGACAGATATAAAAGAGGAAAACTAGAAACGCACACTATTTTATCAATAATTATAAACACACAATGAGATAATTTATTAATGAAACGCACAATTTAGTGTGCAAAAATTTCAACTATCAAAATTAGCCTGAAAATATTAATAACTTAAAGGTTTCTCGTGATACCGGCACCCATTGTTTACGAATAATTATGTAACATAATCCCAGACGTCTGTTGTTCTTTTATTTAAAAAAAACCCCGCACATCTGTTTTACATCGGTCATTCCGTGATCATGCCATGTCTTCATTGTTTATGATTAGGGTGTCGCTCTAAGAGTACTGCATATATACCTTTCTCTTAGCAAGCGTTTGTAAGACTGTCTTACAAGAGATGACAGACCAAATCGTCATCAGGGTTACTAAATAAAACCGGAAGTAAAAGAATTTTTTCTCTATATACGTCACAGGTCACATGGTGTGGAGGACCCTTAAGTTAACTTTAACAACCAATATGAATCGTTTATTGTCAGTACCAATGAAGTCATAATTTAAGTAATGATTTTATCGCCATTGTAGTAGGGATAACTTGGTATAAAAATTGTTAGTGCGATATATATTTAAAATATCCCAATCCTCTGTCCTTCTTATTCAGGTTAAATAGAATGGACACTTTTCAATTATTTCGTAAATCTAACATGTAGATAAAACGCATTTATGGATGACCGTTTTTGCTATCCGGATACAGCTGAGGTGGCAGCTGCAGCTCCTAGGAGGGCTAGTAGTCCGATACCTCCCCCAACAGCTAAAACCACGCCCCCTAGTCGGTTTCTCCTCGTGGTGGATATAGTTGTTGTTGTTGTTGTTACTGAAAAGAAGGATTTTAAAAATCATATTTTTAGCAACAGTATCAGGTAATAATATCATGTATCTAACAATAATATCATGTAATCTAACAACCAAGCTCTATGATAAACGTGATGACTTTAATTTTTCTATCGTCAACTTCCCTTACTTATGCAGCAATATACCTTCATCACCTGCATACGGAGTTTATATATCTCAGTTGATTCGATACGCAAGAGCATATTCTACGTATGAACAGTTTCTAAAACGAGGTATGTTATTGACAGACAAGTTAATGAAACAAGAATATCAGCAATCTCGTTTAAAGTAATCATTTCGTGAGTTCTTTGGTCGATACAATGACCTTGTCAACAAATACAATTTTTCATTTAGTCAGATGCTGACTGACGTTTTTCATACTTTTTGTTAGTTCATTATCTATACACTGATTTGACGACTAATTTTTCCGTTATTTCCAATTCATGACAAGGAGCACATGGCGGGTGTGACCGGTCGACAGGGGATGCTCACTCTTCCATGGCACCTGATGAAACATCTGATGTTTTAGAGGTCCGTGTTTTCTCTGCTCCTGTTTGTATTGTTTTGTGGACTTTGCTATTGAGTGCTGTGCGTTATCTCCATATCCTGTATTTATAGAATTGAAAAGTCCAGTCATATAATATTAACATTATTCATATTATCATCAGCTTTTTTCTGGCATTCGACTCACATATATTTTCGAAATATATAATACTAATTAATATCTTTCTATCTACCTGTCTGTCTGTGTGTCTGTGCGTGCAATAGCAATTTTACTACACCTCTATTTTTAATGTTTGTACATTATATAATGCAGGACATATCACGTATAATTTTACCTTACCTTGACATTGGCTACCCTCGGCACCTGGTGGACAGTCACACACTTTCTTTCCATTTTTTTCAACACATCTTCCCCCATTGCAGTCACTGTCCCTATCACAGAGATCTTGGAATACAAGAGAAACATTATTGGTCAAAATAATATGAGAAAGCATTATTACTTTAAATAAGCCTCTATCCTTTTTTAACGTTGTTTTCACCTTCAATCAGTAGATAAATTAATGTGTTTCAAAGAAGGTAGATACTGTAAACCAACTTTAATTCGCGACGACTTCATTTCGCGATTAACCGGGGATGAACTAGTTCGCAACGATTAATTTTAGCGATCAAGCCTATTTTGAATCTGTTGTTAATAGACACATAGACCTTAAGGACCGGTTCGCGGCGAGAAATATTCGCGATGAAAAAGACTATCGCGAATTTCGCGAAAATTTCTAGCACGCGAATAAAAGTTGGTTTACAGTATATGTATGAAGTGTACTTATAAGTATAAGAGTTAAAGGCACACCGAAATATATTCTTATTTCTGAACTTAGTTGGAAGGCTTTTATAACTACTTACATAAATATTTAATGCACATTAATTTCATACATTGCATTCTGATTTATTTCTAATGCATATATCATTTCTCTAGACATCAATATTTTTGATTTTGTATTTTGTATGCTAATCTTAATCCATTAGGCTAAAACCGGAATCTGGTATCTAAAAAATTCCGGAATGGCTTGAATTGCAGCCTTAAAATACGTATTTCTTATGTCGATTGCATTACGAGTAAAGATTCTCTATTTTTTTCAAATTAACCTTATATCATATGAGTTCATGTTAGTTGTAACATTTAAAAAATATATAATACTGGCTATATAATTTATTGGTATTGTTCAGTAAATAAAATTTAATGGACCCCCAACATAAGGTAAAAATAAAAAATAAACTCTTATTGCGAGTATCTAGCCAAACCTTCTCGATTCCTTATTGTCTGGACTGGTAACGAATACTATTGAGCTATCCCGCTACACAGTCGATGGAATTTTTAAAGTCAATGAAACAATGCACCAAGCACGTAAACGCGGAGAGCAGGGGGGGCTCTTACGTTTTGTGAGTATAGTATTTTTCTATAGTATTTTATCTTAAGATGCCGTGTGACCTTCTCCCCCAACCCGAATTGTCTACAGATTTTTCCATTACTTCCCAATCATGACAAAGAGCACGTCATGTGGCCGGTCGACAGTGGATGCTCATTCCTTCATGGCACGTGATCCCACCTCTGTTTTGGAGGTCTGTGTTTGCTTTGCTCTTACTTTGTATTGTGTCAGTGACTTTTGACCTTGAATACTGTTCGTTATCTCATATCATATATTTCATTGAAAACATTTGATCAATTACCAGTTTTTGTTTTTCATCTTTAAGTTGATTTGATTTATATTAGTACCCTTTGAACGTGAAATTAAAGTCACCACATATGTTTTATATATGTATAATGTTCATTGTAAACTAACAAAGAAACTTTATGATAAGCATGATGACTTCGGTTTTCCTATCGAAAGCTTCCCTTATTTATGAAGCAATGTATCATTGCCACGTGCACATGGAGATTATATTTCCAAGGTGAGTCAATATTCAAGAGATCATTCTTTGTACGCATTTTTCTAAGTAATAGTAAGATCATATGAAGAGAAATCTTCGTCACGAAGAATGGGCGGAGCGAAGCGGAGCCCATTCTTCATGACGAAGATTTCTCTTCATATGATCTTACTGACTTAGAACAGAACCTCACCCAATCAAATGAATGGATTAAAAATAAACTCCTCCCACGGCTGTGTCATATCCCAGATAGCAGGATGTTATTGGACCTTTGTTGGGCCAACAACGCTCCTTATGTTGGGCCACTGTTTGAATTCAACATTGGGCCATCGGTAATTTGCTCATCGGCCCTTAATCAAACCAACTTGTTGGCTTATTGTTGGGCCAATGTAACAGTTAAAATTGGGCCACTGTTGGGCCATTGTATTACTTCAGTATTGGGCAAACGTCATTTTTGTACAATTGGGCCATTGTAAGCAACTAATGTTGGGCCAACGGTAATTTCCTCATCGGCCCTTAATCAAAACAACTTATTGGCTTATTGTTGGGCCAATGTAACAGTTAATATTGGGCCACTGTTGGGCCAATGTATTTTTTCAATGTTGGGCAAACGTCATTTTTGTACAGTTGGGCCATTGTAAGCAATTAATGTTGGGCCATCGGTATTTTGCTCATCGGCCCTTAATCAAACCAACTTGTTGGCTTATTGTTGGACCAACGAACGGATATCATTGAGCCATTGTTGGGCCACTTATTCTTTCAATATTAGGAAAACATCTTTTTTGGGCCAACGTTGGTTTGTATCTTATTGGCTCTCCATCATGACAACTCATTTGCTCTTCACTGGTTGGCCATTTGTCCTCAAAATTGACAAACAAATATATACAATAAGGTTATACTAGTTTTGTAGTACAGTTAATTGGTAAAAGCTTTAATACTATCTATATATGCTAGATTAATAGTTTAATACATATTCTCAATATTCTCATAGAATTGCCATCAACAAGTATTGCACTGTAAGTAGCTCTACATTAATTAAAAAAACTGAGAAAAAAGAAATCAAAATATAAAATTCAATTATAACATACTATAATTTTATTGCTCAGTGCATGAAGAAAACATTAATAAAGAATTAAAAGTGGATGCTCACTTTAAGCTATACATGTAGGGTTACATGACTGTATACCCCCTCTCTGATGTAAATTATGCACAAGTTCAGTAAATTACAGGTATCAATAAGCACGTCTAACAAATAAACAAAGCCCTCCTAGCTGTTCTTAAAATAATACTAGAATGAATCCCGTCATTTTGTTTACTTACAGAAAAAATTTTTCTGGCATCTGCATCGTGTTTATAACCGACAAACAGACACAAAAAAAGTAGAACTACAGGAATGTCATACTATATCACAGAAAAAAGTTAGGCACTGCCACTTTCCATCTGATCCCTCTCCTAAGTCTCCATTTCCTCTTCCCAAGTCTCCTCCTCCCCTTTCTTTTCTTCTCTGTCCGTTTCTTCCTCCCTCATCCCTGTCCTTGGCATACCTTAGCCATTCTTTGATTGTGTTCTTCATGTCTTTTTAGAATCTCCAGTAGCACTAAAATTGTAATATTTGGTACTTAATATATTTGTTACTTTTCTCAGTAAAGAGTAAACATACGATTAAATTTACAAGTATATCACTATATGTTTAAGCTTTCAATTTAGGAATAACCGTCTTTTTTGTTTCATGGTGTGATTAAGTGATTAGCTTGCGTGATGAAGGCATTTATGCATAATGTTTATACGCTTGATATCATCATCAAAACAATTTTGATTCAATGTTGCCCCATATAAAATACATGTATTGAAAATTTGTCGTTACACTGAACAAATTTTAAATGAAAGAACCCAATTAATTTTTAGTACTGAATAAATTTTGTTTTAACTTCAGCAAATTCAACATTTTCAAAATGTTTGATCATGTTCTCGACGTTAAGTGTATATAAGTAAATTAAGTGGTAGACTTCGGAAATGTATTCTACTAGACACAAATTTCAATTTAAATAACAAGCAAATTATTAATTGTTTTAACTGTATCAAAACACATTTTTATACTTTCATTTATTTTTCTTGTATATAAACAAGAAATTTATTCACTGATAATTTATTTTGTTTCGATAAATTATGAGAATTTTAAATTTTTTTTTAGCTAGCTTGATTTTTCAAGTAGGATTGGTTGTAGATTTATTTCTGATTGTAGAGACGATCAGATTTGTTAATATACAGATTTGTAACAATGAAATGTTTATACACATTGGCCCAATGTTGGTCCAATATATCGGACCAACATATGACCAAGGAGCAAAATGACACTGGGCCAACGGCATTTGCCAACATCGGCCCAATGTTCTTGTTGACGTCTCGCCAACAATGTCGCATTTATTGGGCCAATGTTGGCGCGACGTTGGGCCAATATCTGTAGAAATAACACTCTACATTGGGCCAACGTTGGCCCAACATATCGGGCCAACATTGGGTCGATGAGCAAACTTAAATTGGGTCAATGCCATTTGCCAAAATTGGCCTGATGTAACCGATTACATTGGCCCAACGTTGGCCCAATGTAAGCATGCTATCTGTACAGTGTTGACCCAACAGCACCTGGCCTCTGCATTCCCCGTGTCTGATTTACACAGATTTGTACATGATATCGTTTAAAAACTAAACGTTAATTCAGCTGTGCCGAGGCAAACATATTATTAATACTTACAAAGTGAGTGCAGATATGCAAGGTATCAGTCTCATTACGCTCGTGTCAGATTAAAAATGGCGCGGATATTACAAGTAGCCCGGTTGTTGTCTACCCATGATGCTCAGTCCGATTCATGGTATATTGGGCCAACGTAGGGCCGATGCCAATCTCCAAACAAATATTTTCTCTCATGATAATAGTTTTATGATATTATGCCAACAGTAAGCCCAAAATTAGCGCACTATTATACATGACCAGCTATCAATATTCCATGTTGGGCCATTGTTGGCCCAATCAAGGTAACCCAACATAGATAATAGAACCATAATGTAAGATTTGGCCAACGGTGTTCTGCTATCTAGGTTATTACAAATAAATAAGCATATACACAATTCAAAAAATAGAATAAAACACTCTTTGGTGCTTGATCTCTTAAGTGCAAAGTTAAAATGTTGAAAATATCATATCTAAACAAAAGCAGTCATCCACTGATAAGCATGGACATAGAAAGTCCTCTCAATTATTTCAGAATGTACCAACGTTGTCCTAACGTAAAGCTCAGCAGCTAATTATAAAATTGACTCCATCAATTAGTTGGCAGTATAATAATTGGGCCAACGTTGGCCCAATATAAATATCCCATCTTTGAAGTCCTAAACAAAATAACACTTGTTTGTATTACAAACATTGGGCCAACGTTGGGCCAACATACTACTACCAACTTGATAGGACACGTTCTTTAAGGGTGTATTACAAACAATGGGCCAACGTTGGGCCAACATACTACT